ATTTTAGCCTACTTGCGAGTAGCAAACCGTTTTAAAAAACAAACATGAGATTTTTGTTCCAACTTAAGTGATCCAATCTTACTTGTATGCTGTGCGCATCACATAGTAATTCTAGGCTAATAAACCGGAATAAGAGCACATAATGTTTTCAAAACTCTATATCATGGTTAGTAGAGGCCGATCTTTGATCGGCCGAGCAGGGTTGCTCACGAAGTGACCTTCCCCAATAGTACCCAAGTTCCCGAGCCGAGGCAACTTTGGTGATGACGAACACGTGGCCTTAGGCACGAGTCAGGGTTTCCTAAATTATCCCAAAATAAAATATCTAGGTGGCGACTCTGTATCTGGCAAAGCAGTCCACGTTTGGTACTTCTTTCTAAAAATCAATTTTTCAAAACGATTTGCCGAATCTGGACTCTTTGATGATTCATCGGTCTTGCATTGCACTCCGCGAGATTAGATACAGGACCGTGACATTGACTCCTAAACTGTAGTAAGCCCAATGAACAAAACGGGATTCCCTCCCGGGACGTCCGGGGATGTCTACATGTACGCTCGAACGGGGAAATGGACACTCGAGCGTGAAAACATGGGTCACAGTATTTTTACAGACACGCATACTTTTGGAACTCACCAATCTCCGCTCAAGCGGGGGAATGGATGCTCGAGCGGGGAGGCAACTTTGAATGCGTTTTTGTATTTTGCTTTGGGGGCGTTACCCCTCGACCCCGCGAGCTGACCGGGCAGCTCGACCCCCGTCATAATCAGCGAAGTGGCAATCTTGAAAGCATTAACATCACAAACTTCTCTACAAGGCACAATTCGGGTTGGATTCGCATCTAAAAACCCATAGCCTCACTGAAATAAAAAGTGCGAAAAAAAATACAACTGAAAGGAGTTTTGTCAAACGGGGTGGCCAAGAATAAAAACCTAACAGGATCAAATCAACAAAAGTCAGTAAGTACAAACTGGTGGCAGAATATGGGGGAGATTATGTTCTTTTCCTTTGGGACATAAACTCACTTACTGAATTCCGCAGTGGGGTGTTTTGGGAAGATGGTTAAAAGCTGGCACCAAAGAGGACACCCAATCTTGTGCTAGCTCAAGCCAAGAGGTTAGTGAGAGACCAACAAAATTACAAACAACACAAAACAAGCCCCCAACAATTACCAAGCAACAACCAAACAACAATACACCACTAGCAAGGGACAAGCAAAACCATCTTCAACCTCTAAACTAGCCTACTGTTAGCACCTTTTACGTGAAGGCTACATGGTTGACATTGGCAACACCTTGCGCCAATGTCTAACCAAGGCCACGGCATGATGGTGACATGCTAAGACAGCAAGGTGAAAAGTTGACAAAGTGTTGAGGCAGCAACACACAACCCTTGGCCAAAGTATGGGTAGCATTTGCACAGATGCAAGGCATTAGCATGACCTGAATGTGGGCTGTAGCATACTTGGGGGGTTGAAGGCAAGTATGCAAGACTTGGTCCGGTGGCCAAGACAATCAAATTCGTGGCTGGTTTGATGAGGCAAACAACATAGCGGTTATCAACAGTTATGCATGTCTGTTGGCAGCAGTTACCTATGTTAGGCAAAGACAAGGCAAGCCTGGAAATCAGGAACCAAGGCTGGAGGACAAGAGCAGTTATTAGCAGTTAGTCCCAGATTTGTTCCTAAGTCCCTAGGCAGTTGAGGGTGTCAACTGCCATGCCACTTGGCATGCTTTCCTTGTATTGCTGATTGTATTCTTATAACTAGTTGTAAGCCTATATAAGGCATGGCTATGGAACTCGAAATTCAACTAAGTATTGTAAGAGTTTCCATAGGCACTCCTTTGTATTGTTGTTGCAATAATAAAGGTTGGGAATTTCTTATAATTTCATGTTGCCTTCTCTCTTACTTGTTCTAACACTTTGTATGGATGCGTATTCATAATTGGTTGAGACTAAGTGCTGTAACTTAGTGCCACTACAAACTGGAAATTTAAAATGAAAATTGACCCTGTAACACCTACCAAGATAACTCACCTGCCAATTTTCAATCCAACCTGATCTCACCCTCACAATACCTGATTTGATTCAAATTAGACACAATGTCCTGCACAGAGTAATTCACCCCTTTTAAATTGTGTTTTTCCCATAGAGCAACCCACTTTCACCAATTCATTTAACTCCTCCAAATCAGGCTGACTTTCATTAAAAAGGCAGTCGTTTCTTATCTTCCTGTTAGTAAAAAATTATGTTTATTCCCAATCGACAAGAATTAAACAATAATTCACACAAACAATTGGACAAACAGATCAAGCGACTGTGTATTTGATTCAAATTGCCTTGAAAGTACAAGGAGTTCTTTGAAACAAATTACAATCGACAAGAGAAATTAAGTAAACAAAAGATAATTTCCAAATGAAAACTATCAAAGTTCACCACTAACAAATTACAAAGAAATTACTCCTAATTCTAAGTCTAAAAGCTAAGAGTTATTGAGTTGATGATGTCCCTTCTCTCTGCAAACTTTCAGCTTTTATATTTTCCCTTGAAACTCTAGTCCATGATCCAACCTTCCTTGAAATTTGTTGGCCAATCCTTTCCCAACTGCTGCAACTGCTTCTTCATCTTTCTCCAACACTTCACATAGACCTGCCACATGTCCCCCATGATCTCTAGCACTACCTTCGACAGAGGAAAACACTTTTACTAAGACCCATAACTGCTTGCAACCTCCTTTGCTTCTTTAAACTTTTTATCTTTGACCAACTCCACTTTTAAACCTCCAGCCACATCATCACATAATTTCCCTTCAATTAATGAGCATGATCGATAGAGGAAGGCTTTCCAATTCACGAATATGGTCTCCTATAAATCAGTCCACCAAGCCAATTAACCAATTGATAACTAGCTCATGACCTTCTTAGCCAATTAATGCACATGATCAATTCCTTCACACCACGTAGCCCCTTGACTGCTGAAAGACTTCATTTTGACTTCACTGCCACATGTCATCATCCGATTAATCCAATTGTGGGTAGGAATTTTACGAAAATGGGTGCAAACACTTCCAAACAGACCACCTAACAGCAAGGGGAACAATCCTCCAAATGCTCATCATAACTGACTTCTTGAATTTGGCACCTGACCACCATAAAAGAAGGTTCTCAATGATCCAGGTATAGCCCACTTCAAACCCCACCAATTGACTACACCAGATCATAGTTTCCAAACCAAAATAACAAGATATGATATACTGATTCCTCCTCTGATTTACAGAATAAGCACAAAGTGTTGGCAGAGCTTGTTAATAATCCAATGCTCTGCAAAAAGACAGGTTTTGTTACTTACTCATGTTGATTAGTACTTGAAAATATTTGTACATGTACTAATTACATTAATGGTTACACTTTAATTTGTCTGATTGAACTCTAAATCACAAATGGAATACAATGATTCCTAATGTATAGGCAATTAGATAATGGGAGGCCATTTGTGTAATCAGTGTAGTGGATATTATTAAATACCATTTGTTTCGTTACTCATTTATATAGGCCACTAAAGTACATATTCAATATTTGAGAGACTAAATTGACACAATTACGACATCAGATGTCAAAAAATACCACAAAGCCTAAATTGACGCAATTAGAACAAGAGAGATCAAAATACAACAAACTTTTAGGCTTTGTTTGGCATGATTAAAAAAAGTCAAAAAGTCACTATCCTATTTAAGTCATATCATCTTTCTACCACATCATTTCAAACCCAACTCATACCCAACCCATATTTCATAAAAAGTCAAAAAGTACATTTATTTAGTTTATCCCAAACAACCCCTTAGTTCATTATGAGTTGATGATATGAGTGTTTGAAAAACCAACAGCCACAGGCACTTGAACAATAACTATAGCAGGCTATATATCGTAAAAAGCCACTGTGACCTTAAAATTTTTACTCTTTTTTTCAATTTTATTTTAATGAGAGGAATTACAAACAAAACAATACCAAAAATTGATGCAAAAATTAGTATTAATGTTCTAATATCATTTAATTATGATGGATGCATATGGCAGAATGATATGGCGAGTCCAGACGTAGGAGCAGTGCAGCAACGTCAACAGGCAGAGGCCACGCAGAGCTGCCCGGGCCCCCCGGAGGTGGAGGTGGAGTTGGAGGTGGAGCTGCCATCTATTGAACAAGATGCAAAATTTTGAGAGAGAAAAAATACTTCCTTAGTAGTCCATACACAACCAGCCTTATAATGTATATTCATGTATACCATGTCCAAGCAAAAACTCTTGTCAGTTAGCATTTTGTTCAATTTATTAAGTCATTTCTAAACCCCACGAGAAAATTTCCAACTGTAATTAAATTTTGAATGAGATCATGGAACCAATGGCATGCTTGCTTATAATTTCTAACTCGTGATTATTTTTTGTTGTTGTTGTTGTTTTTTTTTTTTTTTTTTTTTTTTTTTTTTTTTTTTTTTTTTTTCCTTTTGTTAATGATGAAACAAATTTCTCTTTTATTAATTGGAATTACATAATTAGTGAAATATGTTCTGTCCAAAAGAAAAAGATTTACTTATTTTGATGTATATATTTTGATTTTACTATACTTTCTCCTTCTCAAAACTACTGATGTATACATTTCGTCCATTGCATTTTTCAGAATGCAGCGATCGATCATTTAAGCGATCACTTCATTGAACTTTTTTTAACAATTTCAGCGAATGTAGCAATTGATAAGGGACTGATCAAATTTGAGAGCGATAGATTGCTCTTTAAGGGCGATCGATCGCCAATAGAGGTCAACTATTCAGCTTTTCTTTCTCTCTCTCCTCATTCACTTCTCTTCTCGTGTAGTTGAGATTTGACTTTGTAACCCTAAATAATACTAGTAAGATTTGATTTTGTAATTATAATTAGTGTAATATTAATTTGTGGTTTAAGATAGCACAGGACTTTAAGAATAGAAAATGGATAGGACTTGCTATCATATAGAAATTTGATTAAAAACTCCTTTATTCCCTCAAAGCATAAAAATAATACAAGTAGTTCACTCTTTACCTCAACAACAAACTTGTTGGTAATGAAAAGAATTTTACAATTAAAAGATATATTTGGTAGAAAGGAATACGGTTAATTATATCAAAACTTCCTAAATTATTAGTGCATATCACTTTATCTCATCATCTATGAATCTAGACATTTTAACTCCTTTAACTATAAAAATACATTGCCTTCACTTCCTAGAATCGGGCATTTGTACGATTTTTATGGTTAAAGAGTCAAAATGTATGAATTTATAGATTAGGGATAAGAGATGATATTCACTAACTAACAACTGAGGAAGTTTTGATGCAATTATCCCAAAAAAATATCCACTACATACACAATTTAAAAATTTTAAAAAAAAAAAAATGTGTCAAGGGTTTTGTGAAAGGAACTATGGCCTATGGAGGAAGGCTTTTGGTTTCACCACAACCCATAATAGATGATGGCAATCGTCCCACTTTGTCTATCCCTTCTTCAAAAGCCAGCCCCATTCCCATATAGAAGTGAGACTCTATGTGGCAATGGAATGCCCACACACCAGGATTATCTGCCCGGAACCTCAAAGCTGTCCATCCATAAGGCTGCACAGCCACTGTATTCTTCATGATTGGATTAACCAAATTGTACTTTTTTGGATCCGTAGACATGTTGAACTTGCCTGTCCCGTAACCCATGACCCAAAAATCGTGCCCGTGTAGATGCCAAGGATGTGTCTCGCTGTTGTTCTTGGTCATTGTATTGGCATTTTGAAGTATAATGTCCACTGTTGAATTGAATTTCAGCCTATAGATGGAGTCACTTGAAGTGGCATTTGTATTGTTGGCTACACTGTAAATGTCGTAGTTGGCAAAGTCGTTACCATCCGAAAGAGAATTTTGGTTGAATGCGTGCTTTAAATTTTGCTTGAGGGCAATCAGATATGGGGTATGGGGAAAGTTGAAGGAGACATTGTTGATGGACCAGCGTACGTGGCCATTGATGGTATTTTGAGTGTTGAGCATCACAATTACTCTGTCTGATGTTTGGGGAGGAGGTAGGATGTAACCTTGTCGGGCCTTGATCTTTACGCTTTGATTGACCCTGGCTTCTACATCGTTCCAAAGAGGGCCAGTGGGTGGAACTGTTGGGGGAGATCTTTTAGGATGGTTCGGATAGTAATTGAGAATGGCTAAACCATTTGGAGTTGTGCTATTCCGGCTAACCACTTTTGAACTTGCCCAGTAATTTCTTGAAGGGTCTTGATCGGCTTTTATTAAAACAGAGTATGTCTCACCAGAATAGATAAATAAATTTTTCACTACAAATGGCTCAACATAGTGCCCATCTGCCTCAACGACGGTCATATTATGACCCTGCACAAATATAATACTATTACATTAGCAATTAATTACTAGAAAAAAGAAAAGGTTTAGAAGGTGGTTGTTCAAATCTATGTAAAAAAAAATAAATTACCTCTATTTCAAAACTGAGGGCTGCTAAAGCAGTCAAGCTACCAATCCGTAGTCGGTATGTTTTTCCAGGAATAACCCTGAGAACATAAGGAGAGCATTCAGGATTTGTAGCATTACAAAGACTGGCTTGTATACCAGGAGTAGAGCAATCGAACTGTCCTTTTCCTTGTATCAGAAGTGACTGCAAATTCAAAAAAGTGAAAAGAAAAAAAAAAAGTTACAAACCAACCATTAAACATATGTAATTAATTGGGATTGTAAATACTAAATATCTAGTATCAAGTATGTATAAACCTGAGGCTCCCCAACCCAAACAAAGGGTATTGAAGATAGTCCAGCAGCTTGTTCAAATGTGCTTTTGTGGTACCAATCGTTGAGGATGATGCTCCGATCATAATCGTAGGAAAAGGGCTCTGATTCGCCGTCAGGAAGTGCTACGCGGATGGATCCATACAGCCCACCTGTTCTTTGCATTCCATAATGTGCGTGGTACATATACGTCCCAGGCTGCGAATTCCATTATGAATTGTTCAATCAGAATCTTAACCAGCAAGAATCTCAACAAGGAACAGAACACATAAATAAAGCTTTTTGTTGCTAAAAAAAACTTACCCTATCCACAACAAATTTGTAGACAAAGGTGTCTCCTGGTAAAATCGGACACTGAGTTATCCCTTCTGTTCCGTCAGACCAAGGTGATCCAATCTGCAAGTAATTACCATTTTCAACTCAGCTCAAGTCTGATCTCAATATTTATAATAATATATTAATGTATCTCAAAATTAATAAGAAGCTATATATATAATATAGTGGTGTGTACCTGTCGAATACCATGCCAATGGATGGCGACATTTTCAGTTTCTAAACTGTTCTTGAGCTCTACAATGACAGTATCGTTTTGTTGAGCCAAGATTGTTGGACCTGGGGACTTCCCATTAATGGTGATGACCAGTTTGTTATAGCAATCTGGAGACTTGAACTCATGCTTTACCTCCCATTTGAAATGCCGAACTCTACTGGCCTCTGCAGATGGAACACTGATCACTAGGCAAACAACAAGGAGGCACACAGACAACAACCTTGTCACAATTTGACAAAGCTCAACCATGTCTTCAATTCCTATCTCCTATCTCCTATCGTCAGGTATAAAATAATGGGTTTGTTATAATAACTGAATTAATTGAAATGGGAAGGAAACTGGTATGCTTGATTGAAGTATTTGATCCTCTTCTTGATCTTTGTATATATATATATGAAGATGTGTTGATTGATTCCAGCCATGTGAAAGTCAATAAGAGTGGCTTCCTCAGGCTGATAAAAAAAAAAAAAAGGTGGTTCCTCTGCTATACCTATTACATACGAATATATCAGAGGATTGGGGGTAGGTGGAGCGAGTGGACCAAGGCAGATGTTGAAACTGGGTTGCATATACATGCGCGTATAACAGTCAAAACGAAGAAATGTCCTGGGTGTTTCCTCCTCTGGGATTGGGGGTGGGGTGGGGAATATTTACGAGTCCAGATCCTCTCCAACCGTTCTCTGGTCAATGGCTGGGATTTGGGCATGTCACTCAAAACAAAATTTACGGCTCAGATTAGTTAAAAAAAAAAATTGAATTTCAAAGAAACTTTGCAATGGACAGTGCGTGTGTTCACACACTGTCTAAAAAAAAAAATGCGTGCTGAAGAAACCCACAAGAACAATTATTCAATGGCAGATTCAAAAATTAAATTCGCCATTTCACAACATTCTACCATACATCCCTTGCAATTCGTTCATTATTTCAACCTCCTCACCGTCAAACCCATTTGGGTCTTCAGTTTTTCCATACCCTTTGGCGACCCTCACGCACCACCGCGACCGCCTGCACCCGCCGGACTCCTCTCCCCCCACCCCCACCCCTACCAGCTTCAGTCGATCCAATCCCTCATTCTTCTTCCAGATCTGAAATTTTCAGATCAATTTTTTCAGAACAAAATGCATGTACAAATCATTAACTCTCCAAAAACAATATAAAGAAAGAAATGAAAAAATCAAAGAAAAGAAAGAAATTGAAGCAACCAGAACTAGAGCGTTGAATTTGGATGATTTATGTGGCTTGAATTTTAGAGAGAGAAAGTGGGTTTGCTTCAAATTTGTGGATTGAATTGTATTTTTGTTTATTTTTCATTTTTTAGTCTGAATTATCAGATTTTGATAATTTTAACATTTCTGGCTTGATGATTTGATGGGTGTTCTTTCAAATCTTTGAAACTTTGGTGGTAAATTTGCAGATTTAATCTTTCGATCAATGCAGAATTGTTGGTCACATTGGAGTAGATCGGCCACAGTTGGGAAGAGACAAGGAAGGGTGGGAGAGAGAAGAGACATCGGTCGTCGGTAGCGAGAGAAGAGAGAAGAGAGTAGATCGGTTGTTGTTGTTCACCGTTGGGAAGAGAGACGGAGAAGAGAAGAAAGAGAGCGCAAGCAATATAGCACAAATTTAATTTTTTTTGTAGTTAATCTAAGCCGTAGATTTTGTTAGGAATGATGTAGCCAAATCTTGACCGTTGGTCAAAGGAAGGGCTGGAGAGGATCTGAACTCAACATTTACCTACGAAACCAATAGTGTCGTTATTATAGGAGAATATTGTATTCTTACCCTTTTTCGAAAAACTTTTGTTTAATGGAGTAATTTTTTGTGTCAATAGTTAGATGTTGTGTGGCGCCTTCTTCTATTATGGTTGAATATTATAAAATACTTAGCCTCCGTTTGGGAAGTGGGTTGGCTTTTTGGTTTTTTAGCTTTTTTTACTATTTTAGTCTGGGCTAAAAAGTTTGGTTTGGGAAGGGTTTTTTGGCTTTTTGACTTTTTTGACTTTTTTTGTGAGAGAATAGTGTAATGATTATGGGTTGGATGGGATGTTTTGTTTTTTGTGACTAAAATAACCTATTTTGTCTTTTATGGCTAAAATAACCAAAAAAGCTCCAAACTCTTCTTGCCAAACAAACCCTTATTATATTTATGTTACATGTCTGAGAGGAAGTAATAGACATATGCATTTGTGACTGGTCCCATATGATACCCTCCTAATATATAAAAAATTCTCGATTGAATGGCATCCCAAATTAATAAATTAATTGCAAGGGTTTTTGGTTTCTCTTTAATTTAAATTAAAATATGAGGGATTCGTGAAGTCTATTGTGGTTCTATTTTGATGGTCATGATAGTTTATTTTGAATAGTCCTATGTGTATATCATTTTTTTTTAAAATACTGTGGATTTGATAATTATAATTTTTTTATTTTATGTTGTTTGTCTAAAAAAAACATTAGCTTGTTTGGTTTCGTTTTCTTAAAAACAGTTTTCAGAAAATTTTACTTTCTTATTTTTCGTTTTTTTTTATTTTTATTGAATTTTTTAAATATTTAAGCAATTTTTTAAAAAAAATTTTAGATACACTTAACATAAATACACATAAAAAGTATAATTTTTGTGAAAAAATCTTTTAAAAATTCAAAAAATACCAAAAAATACAAAAAAAAGTACGACATTTACCTAGGAACCTATAGTGTCGTTATAGGAGAATATTGTATTCTTACCCTTTTTCGAAAAACTTTTGTTTAATGGAGTAATTTTTTGTGTCAATAGTTAGATGTTGTGTGACGCCTTCTTCTATTATGGTTGAATATTATAAAATACTTAGCCTCCGTTTGGGAAGTGGGTTGGCTTTTTGGTTTTTTAGCTTTTTTTACTATTTTAGTCTGGGCTAAAAAGTTTGGTTTGGGAAGGGTTTTTTGGCTTTTTGACTTTTTTGACTTTTTTTGTGAGAGAATAGTGTAATGATTATGGGTTGGATGGGATGTTTTGTTTTTTGTGACTAAAATAACCTATTTTGTCTTTTATGGCTAAAATAACCAAAAAAGCTCCAAACTCTTCTTGCCAAACAAACCCTTATTATATTTATGTTACATGTCTGAGTGGAAGTAATAGACATATGCATTTGTGACTGGTCCCATATGATACCCTCCTAATATATAAAAAATTCTCGATTGAATGGCATCCCAAAATTAATAAATTAATTGCAAGGGTTTTTGGTTTCTCTTTAATTTAAATTAAAATATGAGGGATTCGTGAAGTCTATTGTGGTTCTATTTTGATGATCATGATAGTTTATTTTGAATAGTCCTATGTGTATATCATCTTTTTTTTTAAAATACTGTGGATTTGATAATTATAATTTTTTTATTTTATGTTGTTTGTCTAAAAAAAACATTAGCTTGTTTGGTTTCGTTTTCCTAAAAACAGTTTTCAGAAAATTTTACTTTCTTATTTTTCGTATTTTTTTATTTTTATTGAATTTTTTTAAATATTTAAGCAATTTTTTTTTTTAATTTTTAGATACACTTAACATAAATACACATAAAAGTATAATTTTTGTGAAAAAATCTTTTAAAAATTCAATAAATACCAAAAAATACAAAAAAAAGTACGAAAATTAGTATGTTTTTCATATTTTTATGTATTTGTTAATTTTTTAAAATATCTTTTCACAATTTTTTTACTTTTTTTTATTCATCTAAGTAAAGTACATCTAAAAAACTAAAAAAAATGCTTAAAATTTTAAAAATATTCATTAAAAACAAAAAACATGAAAAACAAAAAATTCAATTTTCAAAAAACTTAATTCAGAAAATTCAAACCAAACACATTAATTAGTTTTTAAAAAAAAACAAACTTGCTGTCAATTTACGAGTAGATTTGGGGTTGAATTTTTCGTATCTTTGTTTACGTGTAGGCTTTTCCTTTTTTTCCTTTTTTTTTTTTTTGCCCTTTTTGTTAATACATATGTGGTTTCTAAAACTTACTTTTTGTGTCAATTTAGTAATTTTAATTTGAGTTAAATTAATTTAAATTTTAATAATTTTGTAAATTTTAATTTGAGTTAAAGTAATCTAATTTTAACACAGGTTAAGAAGATAAATCATAGTCTTTTAGAAGAATTGTATTATGAAGGAAACTTATTAATAAAGTTACCCTTTCTGGAAGAAAAATACTACAGATCATGAAAAAAATATCATAAAATATGTCATGAAGATCTTTCATCATTTAATTAGTGTGTGGTGTTTTATTGTATGTGTAATTTAAAGGTGGAGAATCTTTCATGATCATACTCATGATATTTTTTTCATGATTCCTATTATTACTCTGTGTAGAAAGATTTAAGTTCAATTGCATTTCAAAATTGAAAAAATTCAAAGTGATATGAAATGCATATTTTAAAACAAAAAATTTTACATAAAATTTACATAAATAAAATTTGGATGACCAAACACAAAATGGATATTTTAAGAAAGATATGTGTATTTATAATTTGATCGAATAAAGTTATGCACCAATTGGTATACCAATTAATATACTAACGGATGATGTAACATAGTTTTATTGGTTTTGAGTCTTTTTGTTTGTATAACAAGTGCAGTCCATAATTTTGAAATTGCATTGTTTATAGCATATATTGGTACACTAATTGATATAATAATTGGTGTGTGCAGCACAATTGAATTTGTTCAGAAGTTTTTGATCTATTTGTTGTATGGTTATGACTTTTTTTTTTCTTCCCATAATTGAATGTCCAAATTAATAATATGTTTTTTATGATATTTGTAATTTATCTTCTACTAACTGTATTTTCTTAATTGTTTTCATGAAATTTAACATTCAATATTAGAAATAAACAACAACGGGGTAGAAATAAACAACAAAAATACCAAACTTCTCTATATAGGAGTTGAGCCCCTAATATCACACCATAAAGTGGTGATCACTAGGCCAAATGCCGTGATAAAATAATTTATAATTTATTATATTAAAGAATAGATGTAGATAATAAAGATATAGGGTGAATTACGATGGTAATTCCTGTATTTTAGTCTTTGTGTAATTTTAATTCCTATAATTTAGTTGGCTCAATTTTAATCATAAATTTATGACTTTGTTTCAATTTAGTTCAATTGATTACAACTCTTAACAATTTTTTATGAGATACAAATATAAGTGGCATGTGTCAGATTTTTAAGAGCTAAATTATAAATTTACTCAACTCAGTGAGTCAATATCTACTAATTTCGTGATAATTTTTTATCAAAAACATTACCGACATTATTAGTTGGACAAAATTGATATTAAATTTAAAATTAACAGTCAGATTTGAGCCAATTAAAAGTATATGAACCAAAATAACATAAGGAGCAAAATGTAAGAACCATTAGTATAATTTGTCCAAAGATATATCAATGTAGCCTACAAAATTTTATTTTGTAATTACTTTTCTAAATAATTAATTTCAAGAGCGTTTGTTGTTTATAAAAATGAATATTGTATATGAGTAGAGGTAGACTTTGTCGTTGTTTGTTTGATTCCCTCCATCACGACCACGATCACGATCAATATCTATTCTTGAAATCATCAATTACATGACGTGGTCATTTAGAAGAAAAGTTCTTCGGTGGTCTTGAGATAGGAAAATGCTAGAGGTCTTAAATTTTCTACTAAATAAATGATCAAATGTCTCACATGGGTGTGGGGTCCATAAAATTGCGGATCCCACACCCATGTGAGACATTTGGTCATTTGTTTGGTAGAAAATTTGGTGTCCCTAGCATTACCCCTTGAGATATTAACTGGGGGTATCCCGAGAGCATTAGAAAATGTGGAGAGGGTGATACTCATAGTTTGATGTTAGACCCCGACTTAATCAAAGTTTGTCTTAGGAGGTCGAGACAAGTTTTTAGGTTATAGTCTCTTACTCGGAACAGATAACAAGACACTCTGGTGATCTCCTCATGGGGGCGCTGCCTAGACCTGCGGGAGGGTAGGAGGATTTCTCTGTAACAAAAAACAAATAATAATAATAATAATTTGATGTTAGATGGTGGTGAATAATAAGGGACATGATAGTTGTTGTGATTAACGACAATATTGTCACATGGTCCAAATTTTTTCATTTAGAAATGTAGTAATTAATTCCGGGCCAAGAAAAGTAAACAAAAAGGAATTGGCAAAAGTAACGCGGTGTTGATTTTTTATATATTTCATGCAAAGAAAGAACTTTGAAGTTTCTGATCTAAATTCAACTTTTTTTATGTTTAAAAAGTTTAACTTGAGATCTGAAAACCACCCATTTTTTATGTCACGCAACGATCTCAATAAATAGGCCTTTTTATTTTTAAAAAGTTTTTTAAAGGCATTATTAACAAGTTTAAATTTGATATATGAATATATATTAGTGGTGTTTGTCCACTCAATGGGTGTATTATAAAATTTGAAAATTATAAATTCTAATTTTAATTTAAATACACATATTGTGTGTCGTTCAAGTGATAAATTTACTAGATCAAAGGTCTTGATTTCAAGTCCTAACCTCCTTTCTACATAATTTTACATTTTAAATAAAATAGGATAGTGATATTCTATGTCAACACCATCTCAAGTGTTACTTTTATAAAAATATAGATAGATATTAATAAAAAATATGTGATATAAATATATGTAATTATTTTAAATTTTATTAATCAACATAATTAGAGTAATTGTTAACAAAACTCTTTCCAAAGCATAATCGTAGATAATTTGTGGACGCCCCACAAAAACAATGCAGTAATCTATGCCTTTTTTATTTTTATTTTTTTCCTTATTTTATGGTTA